AAAAAAAAAAAAAAGAAAAGAAAAGAAATAAACATTAAAAAAAAACAGTGAAAATTTCACTACTACCTTTCCCTTCACAAGTAACCACTGTTGTAACCTTGTTTGTACATTAATTTGAGTTTCCTTATGGAAATCCGAGCAAATATTATCATGTATATTTACCTCTTTCTTAAATAGGAAGTAGGTTATTATACTGTTGTTTTTTCACCTCGCTGTTTTTCACCTATCATGATCTCTGGGATATCTTTTCATATCAGTGCATAGAAGCTTCCTTGTCTTTTTAAAAGTTGCACAGGATTCGGGTGCCTGGGTGGCTCCGTGGGTTGAGCATAGAACTTTGGCACAGGTCATGATGTTATGGTCTGAGAGTTCAAGCCCTGTGTTGGGCTCTGTGCTGACAGCACGGAGCCTGCTTGGGATTCTCTCTCCCTCTGCCCCTCTCCCCCACTCACGCTCCCTCTCTCTAAAAAAATTGCATTTATCTTATAATAAATGAGGCTGGACACCCTTACATATGTTTAAAGACCACTTCATTCCTTTCTGTGATGCACGGTTTCATATATTTTTCCCATTTTCATTAGGTTCTTGTTCTTTTACTTACCAATTTCTAGGAATTCTTTATTCTTTTAAAGTTCTTATTTGTTTAAGTAATCTCCACACCTGGCATGGGGCTCAGACTCGTGACCCCCAGATCAAGAATGGCATGCCCCTCCTCTGACTGAGCCAGCCAGGTGCCCCTAGGAACTCCTTCCATGCTCAGAACATTAGTAATTTTGGGATAAGGATGCTGAAGAGAAGATACTGCTATCTGGGTTTTAGGCCATTTGGTACAAAAGACTTGAAAGCTGAGCCCCAAGGTGTCCCCACTTTGCTCCAACTATTTATACATCATTTTTCTACTCCTACCCCTTAGCTTTTCCTCCTCCAAGTCAACAAGGGGATGCAATGCTGGACGTTCCAAAGACCTTTCCCTGCACACTCCCCTGCCCTCCGCTCTTAGCAGGACATAGTGAGAAGGAGGAGACATTGTTGAGAGTAAGAGCTTTCATGTCAGACAGCCTTGGGGTCAGGGTTAAGTTAGGGTGAGGTTGGAGGCACTGGGAATCGGTATTTTCTTTTTTTTTTTTAATTTTTTTTTCAACGTTTATTTATTTTTGGGACAGAGAGAGACAGAGCATGAACGGGGGAGGGGCAGAGAGAGAGGGAGACACAGAATCGGAAACAGGCTCCAGGCTCTGAGCCATCAGCCCAGAGCCCGACGCGGGGCTCAAACTCACGGACCGCGAGATCGTGACCTGGCTGAAGTCGGACGCTTAACCGACTGCGCTACCCAGGCGCCCCAATCGGTATTTTCACAAGAGGACCAGGAGTCTCTGATGTATTACTAGTTTGGGAACCCTGGATTTAGATAATCCCTTTCACGGAGTTCTTTATTTAAAAAAAAAAAAAATTAAGTTTATTTATTTATTTTGAGAGAGAGAGACAGAGACAGAGAATCCCAAGCAGGCTCCACGCTGTCAGCACAGAGCCCAATGTGGGGCTCAAACTCATGAACCATGAGATGATCTGAGCTGGAGGACACTTAACCTGCTGAGCCACCAAGGTGCCCCGTGAGTTTTTTATTTAAAAAAAATACTTCCTGTGTCAGGAATGAGCCTCAGGTTTTGTTTTCTATAGCAAGGTCATTTGCAGGGATGAAAAGATACCATTTCCTGCCATGTCCTATCCAGTAAGAATCCCCTCACCAGCGTTCGCACCCAGGCTCAGAGACGTGCAACTGCTTGCCAAGATCAGACAAGCCACTTAGCAGCCGAAATGTGTCTATTCAAACACCTTCGATGCTTAGAAGCTCACTCCTTCTAAAGACGGTTTTGTTGGCCGGCTAAGGACATGGGCTCCCAAGGCTGACCTGGACCTGAATTCCCGACACTTCCACTCTCAGGAAACAATGGCACTAGAGTGACTTTACTTCTGAGTCTCATTTTCTTCGTCTGTTAGATGGGCCTCATGATACCAACTTCATAGGAGTTTGTAAGGATTAACATGAGATAAAGCGCAGAGATGCTTAGGGGCGTCTGATGGCTGTGCTCCTGTGACACTATGTAGCACTAACACTCAGTAAATGGTGCCCCTTATGAGCTATCCTAGCTATGAGCATAGGTTGAAAACTCAGACATGTAAGGGAGCCATAAGCAGGGGTTGTATTGACCTGAAGAATTTGTCTCCTCTAAAGCATTCAAATTAAAATCTTCTTAAAAACCGTGGGTCCAAAGCACCCTATATTTGCTGTCCAGATCTGGCCTGCTGGACTCCCAGTTAGTTTTCCATGGCTTTGGCACTTCGGGGTGCCTCTGACTGTTACCCACCCTTCTTCTTTGTTTCAGTCCACAGTGAAGACCAAAAGAGACACAGTGAAAGGCTACTTCCTAGCCGGAGGGGACATGGTGTGGTGGCCAGTAAGTGGTCTTTGGTTCAGTTGAAGTCACTTCTTCACATGCTGATGGTCTGTCTAGCCTTTGGTCTCTCAGGACCCGGGTTGCACGTTGTGTGAAGTCACAGTCTAGAGAAGGCTTAGCTCCAACTCAATCAGTTAGGCTGGTTTCAGGTATGGTTGAGTGCAAGGGCTCAAGTGATATCATTAGGACCTGGTTTCCATCCCTCCCTCTCTTCCTCTCTTTAACCTTTCCTTCCTCCCTCCCTCTTTCCCTCCCCTCCCTCTCTTCCTTCCTTCCTTCCTTCCTTCCTTCCTTCCTTCCTTCCTTCCTTCCTCTCCTCTCCTCTCCTCTGTATCAATTTCTCTTCTTCTGGATGAGCGCTATTCCCCAAACAGGGTCAACTTCATGGCAACAAGATAGCAGACTTTGCTCTAGACTTCTCATCCTCTCAAGTCCCAGTGCATGGAACAGCATGGAAAATATCTCATCTCTGACTGTGTCCCATGCCCACCTCTGTGCCAGTCACTGTGACCAGGGTAGTTTGATGTGCTAATTGGCTCAAGCCTGGGTCACACACTCAATGCCTGAACTGGGGCGGGGGGTGGAGCTTGGAACCTGTCCTCAAGCATATGCGATGAGATGGGAAGGGGCTAGAAACCGTTACTGGGACAAGGCGGAATGGATGTTGAAAACACAAATAACAAACACAGCAGTCCAATTGGTGTTTTCTTTTCGAGTGAACCTCAGGGCATTGCCAAATACAGCATGCACGTGCACACACACATACACACACACATACACACACACACACACACACACGTGCACCCAGGTGTCTATGGGCCTGCCTACGTCATGGATGGTCAGGGATAATAGTTTACTTAGAATCTCCTGAAATAAGAGTGGAATCTTTGAACTAAGAAGAGGAAGGACCGCTCCCATTCGCACTGAGTCCAAAAGATGTAGGGTTTAAGGTGCGGAGAGACAAGTGGTATCTGAGCCCCTGATCAGTGAAATGTGTGGAGACAATGACCATACTGTTCTCAAAAGGTACCAACGACATGCTTTGCGTTATATGTTCAGCAAATTCCCTAAAAATATATATTCACCGAGGAGGATGTCTGGCACTCTGTCCAACACATCAGTAAGCTGGTCTTCACCCTCAAGGAGCTTGTATTCGAGTGTTTCCCAAAGTATGAGGAACAGTCGCTCTAAGATTTTCCAGCTGCACACTGACATAGCATTAAATAACGTCAGATCGCATAGTGTGAACCTCATCCCTTTCCTATTCTACGTCACTCCTCCTGACTGCATAAAAGAAAAAGTCACAGTTTGGTGCCTTTATCAGTCTTTCATCGCCGACCAAGCTCTATGTTTAATCACGAGACTATTAGGCCTCAGTGAGAGAAACTAGCTAGGATTTAGTAACGGAGATGGTGTCCCAGTTCCAGACTCTTAGGAGAGAAAATGTAATTTACCTACTTTGGGCCAAGTAACTGGGGGTGTCTGGTTCAATCTGTTGAGACCAGGGATTGGGGCCATTGAGTATAGGCTTGGCCACTTAATGTTCTACCAGAAGGAGAACTATTTACTTTGCCAAGGTAGAAACAGAACTGGGATATATAACAAAGGCTTCCTGATTCTCCTCATGAAGCACCTTCCACAATACCTGTCATCCTTTCCCCCAGGGACGATGCATACAGTTGTTCGTGTTGTGCACTGCACTACCCTATGGGGTATGATTCACATTTTAGGCATCATAAAGATGCATACATACTGTGCCAATAACTGATAGATGGAAGTAAGAGTTTTGGGGAAGACGAGTCTTTCTAATTTGAAAAAAAGGAAGATGCCAGATGGGCTAGGGATGGCCCTGCCTTCTCTATTTCTCCTTCTGTCTTGGTCCCTTTGGAGCACGGGAAGAACTGGGGGTGGGGAGAAGATACTGTAGACCTTGGCTCCAGGATCTGACTTGTCTGTCTCCCTACAGGTGGGTGCGTCCTTGTTTGCCAGCAATGTTGGAAGTGGGCATTTTGTAGGCCTGGCAGGGTCGGGTGCTGCTGCAGGCCTTTCCGTAACTGCTTATGAGTTGAATGTAAGTATCTTACCGGGGGTGTCTACAGCTCACCCTTTGCCCAGTAGGTGACCCTGGGGGACAGTGTGAATGCCCCGTACTTGTAAAAATGGAGCAGTACTTCACGAGGAGACAAGCAGGAAGCATCAAGGGTACCCCTCGCCAGCTAAAACTAGTTTGACCCGCAGGCTTCTGGCTTGTGTGGGTGTGCTCCGTGCTGGCCGGTAAGGTCAGGACCCTAATAAACCACTGTGTGGGAGAAGAGGGCTCCGAATCCCTTCCCTGCGGATGCAGAAGCCAGAAGGTGTCCCGGGACCAGAGGGTTTTTTTTGTGTATCACAAAAGCAGGTGACATCTGTGGTGTGGTGCTTCGACCTATCTTGCCCGGATGCCCAAGAGCGAGGACGCACTGTCCTATGGAGCAGGGCTCGTGAAGGATCTGATTTTCACTGAGGAGGAGGGCTTGCACTGTTAGTGGTGGTTTTCATCTTCATAGTGACTTTCTTTGAAACAAACGATTTATAAGCTCTATGCCCAACAGGGGGCGTGACCTTACAACTCCTAGATCAAGAGTCATATGCTCCACTGACTGAGCCAGCCAGTTTATTTATTTTGAGAGAGAGAGAGAGAGAGAGAGAGAGAGAGAGAGAGCAGGGGAGGGGCAGAGAAAGAGAGAGAGAATCCCAAGCAGACTCTGCACCATCAGTGTAGAACCCAGTGCAGGTCTTGAACTCGTGAACTCTGACCTGAGCCGAAAGCAAGAGTTGGACACTTAACCTACTGAGCCACCCAGGCGCCCTGTCACTAATATTTTTAAAGTGCTCGTTCTACCCTGCGGCCTACACGACACGCGTTACCGTATGGTGGGATCCCTTACAAAGCCCAACCTGGCTCAGCGAGGGAGGGGATACGCCTGGAGGAAGGGGGAGGACGTGAGGTTTAGGGTGGCACCGGATGAGGAGTCACGGAAAAGCTTCTATTTCCACTCTTCCCTCCTTCGTCCCCTTCTGCCACTTAAACGTGGAAATATGATGGTCCGGGGAGGGTGAGGTACGCAGACTGAACCAGAGGTGGAGCCAGGCCTGGCTACCTCCAGGTGCAGAAGGAGATCCAGATGAGCACCTTGAGGTTGGCGGGAGCCGAGTCCTGACTCTCTTTTCCCCGGGCAGGGCTTGTTCTCCGTGCTGACGTTGGCCTGGATCTTCCTGCCCATCTACATCGCTGGTCAGGTGAGTGTGGGGGAGTCGGGGTGCCGTGGGCTGAGAAACCCTTTGGGAGGGTCACCCCTGCGTTCCCTCCTTCCCCCCTGACGACCTCCCTTAGTCCCCGGGAGGTCGGTCCCCGCATGGCGAGGGACGCCCCACAGGTGAGACCAGGGGAGCGCCGCCCTTGGCAGCTCCCACCTGGTGACCGATGATGAAGATGCACACGGGCTGGAGGAGACAGGAGCCCAGAAGCATCTGTTTTCAATGCGAACACACCGGTGTGAGGCTCGTGGTCTCTTTGACGTGTGTAGGCGGTAACATATTACTGCTTTTCTTCCTTTGCACACAGAGCTGTAAAAACGGAGTTCTTTCTGGCAGATGCGAAGGGTCAAAATGTTTGTTCCCAAATAACAATGCTGCTTTAGGCTTAAAAATATCTATCTATATCTATATCTATCTATCTATCTATATATATATGTATATACACATACATACATACATATGTGTATATGTTTTTAAGTTTATTTATTTTGAGAGAGGGAGAGAGAGCATGAGCAGGGAGAGACAGAATCCCAAGCAGACTTCATGCTGTAATGCTGTCCGTGTAGAGCCCAATACAGAGCCCGAACTCACCAAATGTGAGATCATGACAGCTGAAATCAAGAGTCGGACATTTATGGGGCGCCTGGGTGGCTTAGTCGGTTAAGCGTCCAACTTTGGCTCAGGTTGTTTGAGCCCCGCGTCGGGCTCTGTGCTGACAGCTTGGAGCCTGGAGCCTGCTTCGGATTCTGTGTCTCCTTCTCTCTCTGCCCCTCCCCTGCTCTTGCTTTCTTTCTCGCGCGCTCTCTCTCTCTCTCTCCAAGATTAAACATTAAAATTAAAAGCAAAAAAGAATCGGACGTTTAACTGACTGAACCACCAGGCACCCCTGCTTTAGACTATTTTGAAAAAGTAGTTTAAAAAATTGTTTCTGATCTGACAGCTTTATGTCACTCATACTGTCTAGATTTAATTCTGCTCCAAAGGTTCTACCACACGGGGCAAGATCATACTCAGGACCATTCATAAGGCAAGAACTGATTTTAACTTTTGATTATGGCAATTAAAAACTACACAAAGTAGGGGCGCCTGGTGGCTTGGTTGGTTAAGCGTCCAACTCTTGATACTGACTCAGGTCATGATCTCACAGTTTGTGAGTTCAACCCTTGCATCAGGCTCTGTGCTGACCGTGTGGAGCCTGCTTCGGATTCTCTCTCTCTGCCTTCCCCTGCTCTCTCACTCTGTCTTAAAATAAATAAATAAACTTAGAAAAATATTTAAAGAAACTTAAAAGAAAAAATCTACCCACTCCATTTTTAAAAAATTTTTTTTTAACGTTTATTTATTTTTGAGACAGAGACAGCATGAACGGGGGAGGGTCAGAGAGAGGGAGACACAGATTCTGAAACAGGCTCCAGGCTCTGAGCTGTCAGCACTGAGCCCGACACGGGGCTCGAACTCACAAACTGTGAGATCATGACCTGAGCTGAAGTCAGCCGCTTAACCGACTGAGCCACCCAGGCGCCCCAACCGACTCCATTTTTATTGGGAAATAAATACATTGAAAACGTGATAAAACACAAATGCACAGCTTAACCAACTATCGTAAAATAAACACCCGGATCAAGACATAAAACCTAACCTCCCCCGTGTGCCTTTAGCATGTGACCATGCCTTCCTTTCTCCTTGAAGTTCATCTAGTTAACTCCTTTGCTTTTCTCTGTGTAGGTTTCATTATGCATAGACAGTTGGTTTAATTTACTTTTGAAAAAACGTATACGGGATCAGGGTTACATATTCTTTCATTAGTTGATGTGTTAATTTTTTTTTTTTTTTTTTTTGCTGTGTAGTGTTCTGTAGTATGACTACAGCCCGTGTGTCCATGTGTTTGTCCATTCTTTTGTTCGTGGGCATTTAGGTTGTTCCCAGTGTTAGGCTGTGATGGCTAATGCTCCCGTGATCATTTATACAAGTGTCCTGAGGCACGTAAACAGGTGTTTATGGAGAGTGTCTACCTATGAGTGTCTGGGCTATTGGGTATGTTTGTCTGGCTTTGCTACATACTCCCCCAATATCCCCCAGAGTATTTCTATCAGCTTAGAGTCCCAACAGCAGTGTCTGCAAATTCCCTTGGCTCCATTGCTTCACATCCTTGCCAACACTTGCTATTTTCCAACTTTAAAAGTCTTGCTAATCTCAATGCGCTTTTGACTGACAATTCTATTTTTATTTGTTTTGGCCCTTTGGATTTCCTCTTTGGGGAAGTCACTTGTCTGGGGCTTTTGCCAACCTTTTTTAAAATTATTACTAGGTGAGGGGCGCCTGGGTGGCTCAGTCGGTTAAGCGTTCGACTTCGGCTCAGGTTATGGTCTCGCGGTCTGTGAGTTCGAGCCCCGCGTCGGGCTCTGAGCTGTCAGCTCAGAGCCTGGAGCCTGTTTCAAATTCTGGGTCTCCCCTCTCTCTCTGCCCCTCCCCCACTCTTGCTCTGTCTCTGTCAAAAATAAAATAAACATTAAAATAAATAAATAAATAAAATTATTATTAGGTTATAGAGCTTCTTATTGATTTGTAGAGGTTCTTTATATATTCTGGAAACAAGCCCTTGGGGTGGTTTTATGTGTTGCAAATGTATATATCTATCTTTTTCTACTCTGTGGTTTGCCTTTCCAGTCTCTTAATGATGTTTTTAATACGCAGTTCTCAACTGCAGTGTAGTCACATTTATCACTTTTTCCTGTCTTTCATGTTCTGTTTAAAAAATATTTTCCGGGGTGCCTGGGTGGCGCAGTCGGTTAAGCGTCCGACTTCAGCCAGGTCACGATCTCGCGGTCCGTGAGTTTGAGCCCCGCGTCGGGCGCTGGGCTGATGGCTCAGAGCCTGGAGCCTGTTTCCGATTCTGTGTCTCCCTCTCTCTCTGCCCCTCGCCCGTTCATGCTCTGTCTCTCTCTGTCCCAAAAATAAATAAACGTTGAAAAAAAAAATATTTTCCTACTCCAAGGTCATAAAGATATTTTCCTATATTGTCTTTTAGAACTTTTCACATTTAAGTCAATTATCCATGTAATACTGATTTTTGTCCACCGTAGTTTGAGAATGGGATAATGCTAACGCCCCCCATCAGGAAACTTACAGACCAGTTGTATGTGTGATCCGTTCATTCATTCATTCATTGAGGATGCATTTATTGAGCCAAATGTCAGCTGCATGCCAGGTCCCATCAGTTCCCCATCCTCACGTCGTGATGTGACCATTACAATGCTTTCCCTTCTTGCTGGAAATTTCTTTTTCATTCACAGGGAGGTTACCTCCTGTTCATCTGTCAAATCCTACTTTAAGCAATAGTTCCTCCAAAAAGCCCCTCTGACCTCCCTGATGAGGTTAAATTTCCTTCTTCATCATATTGTGGCCTTTGCTGCTTTGCATTAGCTCATGTGGCTATTAAACTCAGATGTCTCCGATAGACTGTGTGCCTCTTCTAGCAAACCAAGCTTTCTCAGTCTCAGGGGGTACTCTGCATTATAGGGTGTTCGCAGCATGCCTGGTCTCTACCAAGTAGATGCTGGCAGCACCCCACACCCCAAATTGTGACAGCCAAGTCGTCTCCAGGCGTTGCCAAACGTTCCCTAGGGAGGTACAAAATCGTCCTCGGTTGAGAACCACTTTCCTAGACTGTGTGCGTCTCCCATTAGATTGTAAGCTCTAGGAGAGTGGGAACCATTTCTGTTCTCTCCTGGAGTTGTGCCTGGTACACAGGAGATGTGCAATTAAATATTGTTGAAATAACTCAGCAGCAGGATCTTTGATGGATTCAGAAGGAAGAACATGAGGAATGAGCTAACACCCAAGAGAAGAGGCACTGGTTAGGGACCAGAAGTCTTGGTCAGATCCCAAAGCATCACCAGAGTTAGCAAGTGAGAGGGCTGTACTGATGAACATTTGGGGCGTCGGAGGTGAATGGGGTCCCGGGGCTGACGAGGCCCAGGTGTGGGTCGGGGAAGTGGGGGCTGGAGCAGAAATGCCATTCTTGCCGGGGCTGAACAGATTGAGACACCATGCAAGGTGTCCCATGTGGGTTCTCTGCATTGTCCCTGTGGCTGCTTCCACACTGGGAAAGGGTCTCCAAGAAAAGGAAGACCTTGAAGGAGCTGGAACCCCCTTGAGTCCTGGGCAGGGCCCTGGGGAAGGCTGGAGGTAGGGGGCGGGGGTTTCAGAGGAAGAGGGAGGAGATTTACATGAGGAGGAAGTATGGCAGTCTGGATGAGATGGGGTGGGGGAGACAGTATGCAGGTCCCGGAAGCCCCTTGCCGTCCTCTGCCCCAGGAAATGGGGGGTCTGGGAGGGAGGGGCCCCACAAGCAGCGAGGCTTCAGGAACTAGGGTGCTCATCCCCCCAGGGCAGCAGTCATTTACTGCATTTATTTCTTATTTTTTATTTTATTTTATTTTTTTTTTGTTAGTAGGCTCCACGTCCAACGTGGACTCGAACTCATGACCCTGAGATCAAGAGTCGCATGTTCTGACTCATGTCAGTCGCATGTCCTGAGCCAGCCAGGCGCCCCTGCATTTACTTCTTTTTAACATTCACCCAGCTACAACCAGAGGGTGGTTCCTGTGCTGCCTGTGGGCCGTCCCTCACCTCTTCGGCTCTGTCTGTCTGTCTGTCTTTCTCAACCTTGCTTGCTGGCAGATTGCCTTTTTAGCTCCTTGACAGCTTAACAGCTGTGGTCACAGACAGTAAATCTGCCAGGGAAGCCTGTTCCTCTCACCTGAACGGACTGAGGCTCTTCGTGTCCTCTCTAATCAGCTGTCACACCATCACCATGGGCACATCCGTTCAGTACTGGTTGAATGTCCCCATGCGTTATTCCTTGATAGAGTGTCAGTGCATGTGCTTCTGGAAAATCTGTTGTGGGTACGTTGCTGCAAAACCAGGGGAAGACATGAGAGTCAGAGTTCCAGATTGTTCTCCGGGGGAGATGGGCAGGAAAGAGAAGCTTTTTTTCTTTTTTCCTATTTGAAAATGCCCATTTATTCCTGGAGTTCTCTTTTTGTTTGTTTGTTTGGCCAATATTTTATTGTGAGAAGACTTTCAAGCATACATCGAAGTGGAAATAATTTTGCACCATACACCCTTGGGTTCTTGAATACCCAGATTACCATTAGCCATTTATAATTCTTATTTATTTATTAAAAATTTTTTTAGGGGCGCCTGGGTGGCGCAGTCGGTTAAGCGTCCGACTTCAGCCAGGTCACGATCTCGCGGTCCGTGGGTTCGAGCCCCGCGTCAGGCTCTGGGCTGATGGCTCAGAGCCTGGAGCCTGTTTCCGATTCTGTGTCTCCCTCTCTCTCTGCCCCTCCCCCGTTCATGCTTTGTCTCTCTCTGTCCCAAAAATAAATAAACCTTGAAAAAAAAATTAAAAAAAATTTTGTTTAATGTTTATTCGTTTTTGAGAGACAGAAAGAGACAGAACGTGAGTGGGGAGGGGCAGAGAGAGAGAGACACAGAATCGGAAGCAGGCTTCAGGCTCTGAGCTGTCAGCACAGAGCCTGACGTGGGGCTCGAACCCAAGAGGTGAGATCATGACCTGAGCAGAAGTCGGATGCTAAACCGACTGAGCCACCCAGGTGCCCCAACTATTTACTATTCTTGAACCGAGTCTAGCCATCTAGTCTTTCCCAGTATCCCTTCACAATCTGACCTCAGAATGGATGGTTTGCCATTCATGAGCTTGTGGTGGGGGAACCTGTTAGTTTTCTCCTCCCTGGGTTAGACTTGGGGATACCCAAGCAGCAACAGCCTGGAGGAGAGGCTGCAAACATTTCTGCAAATATCTTTATAAATGTGTCCTTCCCCATCCAAGATCTAGTACCTCACGGAAGAGCCATTGGTTTGATGTCGCGGTGTCTCAACTGCAAGTCTGGGGCTAGAGTACAGTGAGGGTGAGGAGATTGGGAAAGAACATGCCAAACCCTCAACAGTGGTTTTCAGCAGCACACCCCAGTCACTTGGGTGCCCATATGGTAATGACGTCTGACTTTGGACCACCCAGCCTGGGGCATAGGGAGCCGCCATGATTCAGTGCCCCCCCCCATCTTTCTGCCAACCCTGGAGCCTGCTATTAGAATCCCCTGCTTTTGCTGGTAACCTACCCAAAGGTTTAAATCTTGTTTTAATGTTTATTTTTGAGAGAGAGATACAGAGCATGAAATGGGGAGGGACAGAGAGACAGAGAGAGAGAGAGAGAGAGAGAGAGAGAGAGAGGGAGACACAGAATCTGAAGCAGGCTCCAGGCTCTGAGCTATCAGCACAGAGCCCAATGCAGGGCTCAACCTCACAACATGGGATCATGACCTGATCTGGAGTAGGACAGTTCACCGAGTGAGCCACCCAGGTGCCCCCTGACCAAAGGATTAGAATAGAGCAATTCCCCAAAGTTTGGAACCTGGACGAATGGAGATTCTTGAGATGCTTTTAGGTGTCAGACATGGGACCCCCCCACACTGAGTCACGTGGTGGAGTTATTTCCTTTTCTGTTGTCTTTCACTTGTTTGATGAGCTCAAGGGGAAAGCCTTACATTGGTCCTAGCCTGTCTTCAAGACCAATCCAACACTTCTCCAGCATTGTTTTTCTTTTTTAAATGAGTAGGCTCAGGGCCCAGAGTCTTTAGTACTAGTTGCCAGAAAGGAATAGAAAATAATTGTTTTACTACCCATTGTTTATTTTTGCTGGTTCTCTTAAATTTAGGGTTGATTTTCCATTTATGATGGTGATTTGAAGTTTAGGTAAATGTATTTAACTGTTTAGGTGAGCTGGTTGAAAGGAAAACATTAAGTAATTGATAAGAGATAGCAAACTTTGGGATGGGATTGGTAGTTGGGTACATCCCCCGGCACAGAACCCCAATTCCTCCACACCCCACCCCTCTGCCCCCATTTTCTCCTCCCTTCTTAGGCCTATGATCAAGAAGGCCATTGGTGCTGCTGAGTTTGGGGAGGAGGGAAGGGCCAGTGCCCTGAGACCATGTGCCCAAAGTCAGGTATGTGGTGACCACTGAGCTCTGGCCCCTAGGTCACCACGATGCCAGAATACCTGAGGAAACGCTTTGGTGGCAACAGGATCCCCATCATCTTGGCTGTGCTCTACCTGTTTATCTACATCTTCACCAAGATCTCGGTAAGGTGGGGACATAGCCCAGCCGTGTACCTGTGGCGTGGTGAGAAGATCAACTACAGCCACTTGTTGGGAGTGTGTCCTGTCTGTGCACTTCCTCCTCCTGTTGGGCAGGCTTCCGGGAGGTTAGCAGAGGGTAGGAGGGGTGGGAGGGAGAGAGCAAGCATGGGCAGAAGAAGTCGGGAGAAGTTTCTGCCAAAGGTTCTCTGGCAACATCTCTAGATGGTGCAGGTCACCCCTTGGGTGGAGCGGTCATATTCCTCCTGGGATTAGACAATGATCAGCTATTAATCAGATGGGTTGAGGGCATTGAGCCTGCTCCACCTTGAACTTTGGTTGGATGGGCCAGTCTCTAGAAAGAGGCCAAGAGCAGATGCGTTGCAGCCTCTGGGTCTGCCTGTGACTCAGCTGATGCTGTCTCCACTTCCAGTTGGGGCTGAGGAGAGCCTGTCTCTTGTGAGGAGAGTGCAGGGGGTGCAGAGGAATTCCATTCAATCCAAACAACAATAACTGAGTCCATGCCAGCTGCAGGCTTGAAAGACAGACGTCGGATGACAGCATCCTTTCAGAATTCTGCCTCTGGGTCTGGTGGAAAGCTACAGATGTGGGGAAGCCGTCACCAGGGAAGTCATGACCAAGGAGGATTACAAACTAGAGAAAGGGGACTGGTGTTCCCGATGGATGGACTAGAGCAAGCAAAACATTGGCGACATGGATGGGCATAGCTTGTTAGGGAAGCAGGGAAGGAGTGAGTGAGGGAAATGAGGCCAAGGGTCAAGCAGACCATGAAGCCTGGCATGCAACTCTAACTTATTTACATAGACGTTATCTTGGGGGCAGTGGGTGCCACGGAAGAATTTTAATGGGCAGGAGAGGGATGATATGCTCATGTCGGTATTTGGTAAAGGTTGCAAAGTGGAGAATGGAGGCTAGAAAGACCAGGAGTAGCAGCAGGAGGGCCATTGAGGAGGTTGTCGTATTAGCCCAGTGAATGGGTCTCAAATGTACTTGCCCAAGGGTCCCAGTTTGAGACCTCTGATACAGGAAGAGGTGGCTGAAGAAAGCACAGTGTAGGACTCTTCTGTTTGCTGGAATCCAGTCTTAGGGGAACTTGTGCTGAAAATGTCCATCCATTCATTCATCCGTGAACTTCATGTCTCTACAGGTGGACATGTATGCGGGTGCCATCTTTATTCAGCAGTCTCTGCACCTGGATCTCTACCTGGCCATAGTTGGGCTGTTGGCCATCACAGCTCTGTACACCGTTGCAGGTGTGTCTGAACGAGAGGTGATGCCTGAGAGGCCGTGGGCCACCCCCGCCCCCTTCTTTTCCTGGCCCATCTTCTGATGTTCTAGTGTGTTAAAACCATCCATTCATTACACCTCAATCAATGACCCCAGATAATATGGTGTCTCTTGGCCATTGTCCAAGGGAAGAGGGCTTCCCGATTAGAGGGAGGATTGAAAAATGCACCACAATTGCATCAAGCTATTTTCCATTTATTTACTGCAGAATTATTTATTGAAAACTGAGTGATGCTCATGTCTATTCACATGCACTCTGCAAAGTGAGATTGTCAGCAACTGTAATCTCGGAGAATAATCTTCATCTTCTGCTCCAGCTCACCCTTCTCTGCTTCCTCTTCGTATAATATAACTCATTCCACAAATATGTCTGGATATCACCTACATGTGCTAGACATCGTGCTAGGAAATGAGGTAGAGCAGTAGACAAAACAGGCAAAATCTTTACCCCAAAGGAACTTATATTCTAATAGGGATGGGGAGACAGACAATGAACAAGGAAACCAATAAATCATATCAGGATGTATTGTTATAATCTGATAAGTGCTGTGAAGGAAGTTCCACGCAGGGTGAGGTGGGGAGTGACGGGTAAGGAAAGGTTTTTTATTATTATTGTTTTTTTACATAGCATGTTCAGAGAAGGCCTTTCTAAGGTGACATCTGAACCGCATTTAAATGAAAGGAAGGAAACTTTAAAGAGAAGGACAGAGGAAGAGAAGACCAGGCTAGGAGAAGGGCACATGTAAAGACTCATGCTTTGTTTGGGGAACAGAAAGGCGGTCAATGTGGCTGACGCTGAATGAGCAGATGGCTCAAGCTGCGACCTGCTAACCTCCAGGGGGGCCACTCCCACCAGCCAGAGACGGATTGCCACCCGCCCCTCCCCGCCCCCGTGTGGCTCAGCAGCCCGGGGGATGGGGGAAAGGCCAGCAACCAGTGCCTTGAGGGAAATGAAAGATGAAATGAGCCTGGATTTTGCTCCGAGGGCTGTGGAAACACCACGGGAGGCTCTAAGCTCAAAAGCGGTCAAATCAGACCTATGCAAAGGCCCCTGAAGGATCTCTCAGAGCGTTCCGCACTAATGGAAGCTGTGTGCCTGGAGCCCAGGGAAAGGGAAGGGCTAGTCCCAATAGCCAATTTACCTTTGTTTCCTGGTCTGCGTGTCCCATTAGACTGTAATCTCCATGAGGACAGGGAACATGCTTTTTGCTTGCTTCTCTATCCCTACCATGGAGAGCTAGGTAGGGCACTCACCAGATATTTGGTGAACAATTGAATAAAATACTAAACAGAGTGCATGGCACATGATAAATTGTTCAGTGAACATCAGTATAGAAACGATGGCGGGTTTCAGTGGCACCCAGCTTCAGGATCACTGCACTCAGGCAGCAGAGAGTTGGGACAAGAGTCTAGGCTGGGTGTCTCCCTGTTTGTGACAGGGCCCTATTCCTGCTGGCCAGGAAGGAGGAGGCATTGTAGAGAACCCCACACCTCTGCCCATGTTTTTTATTGCATGCTGACTTTGCCCACTCAGAAAACATGCTCAGATCAGATAAACATCCCTTTCCCTTTGGGAAGAAGGAGGTATAGTATAAGGAAGACACTAGAAAGATGGCCTTGGCCAGATAGATTTGCTGCCATTATTGTCATTACCAAGACTGTGCTAGGGGGCAAAAGTAAGAAGAATTCAGAGGCCAACCACAGGAGCCTGCTCAGGAAGCCTGTTAGGGCTCTGAATACCTAGTACTCATATCCTTTTTCCAGGGTTAAAAATAAAGCTGTTCAGAGCTTGGGGACTACAGCCCATGCATCACTTCCTGAATCAGTTAGAAATTACTGTGTAATGAACCACCCACAGATATAAGAACTTAAAACAATGGTCTTAAGCAAGAGCAGAAGCTTCAGGGCCCTTGAGGGCTAGGCTTAGGCCTGCACAGTAGCACTCCCCCATATTCTGTTGGTTGAAGCAAGTCATTTGGCCAAGCCCATAGTTAAGACATAGAGAAATCAGCTTTATTTACATCAACATGAAAAGCAGGAGTACCTGGGTGGCTCAGTTGGTTAAACATTCGGCTTTGGCTCAGGTCATGATCTCACAATCCATGAGTTCGAGCCCCGCGTCAGGCTCTGCTGACAGCTCA